ATGCACTTGAGTGAAATAAAGGCCCGGGCCTATATTAGAGAATTTACGGTATATATTTTGTATTACTTTTCAAGGCTGCACTTTAAAAAAAAAGATTAAATTTTCTAGAGATCTGTTACACTGTTTCTTTTTGTTTTACACTTGTGTAAACAAAATGACAAATAAAATCTGTCAAAATCTAAGATCACTTCAAAGCAGGAAGAAGGAGAAGGGAAGTCCACTATTTCAGAATGATAAACTTCACTGGGCATTGGCATTGGCAGAGAAACTGGCAGATGGATTAAAATTCAAAAGGAAAACAGATAAAATAGGAAAATACTAAGTACAAACTATGTGGATGTGAAGAAGTAACATACAGCAGAACGGGTTGTTGACTGTTTCAGAAACTCTTTAATTTCGGGCAAAAGTTCCAAAAATCTTTATAAAAACCTGCCACGGCTCAGCCACCTGTCGTCAGTCAGTCGTCATTTGTCAGCTTGCAGCAGCAAGTCAGTGTGGTCTGCACCAGCCTCCTCGGGGTGGGCACAGAATAAACGCCTCTGAAAACTCCTGGCCCGAACGGAGCAAGCGATCTTCATTGCAACGTCCATGACATGTTTACAATAATGCCGCACAGTTGTTGTTGATGAATGACGCATAGGTAGCTCCAAAAAGTTTCAGACAGCTTGAACAGAGCAACGAATCCAGCAGTGTGCCCAACCATAGATGGAGCCCCATCAGTCGGGATAGATGTCATTATCTCATTATCTCCTCAGATTCCTCTTCGCACTTTAGAGTCCCTGGTTACAACCTAGCAACCGTGGCAAACCATGCCCAGCAATCAGCATGCATAAAAAAGGTTCCCTGCATACTATTTATTTTTCATTTTATTATTATGAAAATACACATTGGCCCCTCGTGATCAATGATTCGATTAGTGTTTTTTAAAACTTTTTTTTTTTGTCATAGCCATAAATAGGTCTACATTGTAAAACTTCTCACGATCGACTTAAACTCCGCCCACGATCGACTGGTAGACCGCAATCGACTGGTTGGGCACCCCTGCTCTAAAACATCCTACCTGGAACTAAGCCCCTCCAAATATAGGGTCCTAAAGACATCCCTGCTGGGGATGTAGTTTTTCTGTCTGCTCCTGTTTGGAGTTAGACAACATGCAGTGAAAAAATTTACATTCATCATCTGGTAAAGCTTATTCTAATATTATGTGTTTAAGAAATTATTTGAGCAATTCATTTAATTCTGATGTTAAATTATCATGCAACATGCAATTTCTGTTTTAAAAAATGCTTGTAAGAAGGTTGTTAATGTGCTGTATAGATTTAAATTTCTAGGTGTTAGGGGTGTTACTTCTATCCAAAATGTATTCATCTAGTTGGTGCAGGCTCATGCAATTACCTTGCTTAACAACTGAAACACAGCTTCCTACAGCTTTCATGTAATCCCTCTTAACATACTGTTCAACAGTGCAGTTAAATAGTTCTTTATTTTTATTTTCTTATAGATCTTTTCTTCATAAGACTTTAGGCTTGTTAATTTATTCAATTCATTTATTTATTGCCCTGAATATCGTAAATAGATCCAGTTGTGACGACTCAATATTTACGTTCAGAATTATAATAGACAATAACAAAGCATCTAAAGTTAAGGTCACACACTGTTTAATGGCACTTTTATTTTAGTACCTTCACTTGACTCATTGAAACTGTAGCTGGTTATAAGGAGGATATAGAAAACTATTGTTGAAATGTTTGGTACATAAAATAATGTATTGCCAAGGTGTTCAGTTTGGATGAATTATTCAGAATACTATTGATTGGCACTAATGTAAACCTCAAATAAATAGTTCTCTTTTAGCATTAATTTTAACATTTGTTTTATTACAGAGTGGCCTCGTAACATATATGCTTTATTCATGTATGTGTAGTGAGAGCAGAGCACTTTAAGGTTGTGACTTAAAAATGTATGGAGGGTTTGGCAGCCTAGGAAAAAGTTTTTAAAGGCACATGTCTGTGACAGAGAAATGAGATCTATCAATTTTGACATTACTTTTTCTATATCTGTTGCCACTCACTACATTCTCTCTATCTTTATCTAACTGAACCAAACAAAGCTGCTCTTTTTTCCCCTCTGAGAAGGTTTGGTTTGGGGGGGTGAGGAATGGGCTAGTCTTATGCCTCAGATTGCCTCTGGCATTGCTTCTATCAACCCCATGCTGGCAGACCTTTACTGTTAGCTAATAAGAGAATTCCCTCTGTAAATTATTGCTTCTCTTTTCCGCTACTCTTTGACTTTGAAAGTTCTGCTTTGGGTGACTTTTTTGTGTCACTTTGAAACTTATTGTGTTTTTTTACTCTTGTGTAAATGTCATTTTTTATTTTGTTCTTAACCTGACAGTGGGTTATTTTTGAAATCCCAAAAGAAATGCATTTTTTGCTCATGTTAGTTTTCCTCTTGCCTTTCTTCTTTTTTCAGTCTCCAAATAAGCCATCTGCGCCCCAGGACAAAATCCGCCCTCTTACAAGTCTGGATCACCCTCAAAGTCCATTTTATGATCCAGAGGGAGGTGCCATCACTCCTGTGGCAAGGGTCATAGTAGAGCGTATTGCCAGGAAGGTTTGTTTGCCTTTCCACTAGACATATTTTTATTTTTTTCATATGCAGTCATTTGGTCAGAATACCAGAGCTCAATTTTCCACCCTGAATTTTTTTTTTTTGTTTAACATTATTTCCCTCAGAGCTCAGGTTAAAATTTCTTTACCTTAAAAGCTTCCTTTTGCAGCATTTTCTTAGAGACTTTTGGAAACAGTCAAGTCAAACACTTTGATAACATCAACATGGGTTAAACCACGCACTGCAGATCCTACAGGAAAATGGCTAATTCTTTCTAAACCTCTGTTGTTTCTCATGTTGTTATATAGGCTAATTTTTTTTTAATCTAGCCTATATATATATATATATATATATA